TAATTTCTTTTTTGAACATTAGTAAAGAAGGTTATATTTCCTTAAAAAAATAAAAGAAAGAAAGAAAGGAAAGATAGCAGTGGATCAAGCAATGGAGAGTAATGAAAAGCAACTTGGGATATTTAGACTTTCTTCTGGCCACTATCAATGTGTTAGGAAGGGCAAAATCTGACATCTTTCAGGGCAACCACTATGAAAGGCAGGCAAGAATGGCAAAGAGTAACCTGGCAGTAAGCTATTGCAAAACCAGGCAGAGGATGTGAACAGGTTATACATGAATCTTGAATCTGAAACTAGGACAGAGCTGACTCCATAGGCTGTGGGAGAAACCGGTGTAGATGCAAAAGCATTACAAAGATTCCCAGGGCAGGAAAAAGTGAACGTATGCAAAAACAGAAGTAGAAGGTTGGAAAACAGGATCCACAGAAGTAGGCAGAAGGCAGGGTGGGGAGTAAGCCTTGTCAATTCTAGTTTTTCAACAGGTGTCATCACTGCTTCCTGCTTTGAAGCCCAGCCCCAAGGCTGACAAAGTCAGAATAGTTTTAAAAAAAAAATTAAGCACTGCAGTAAGTCAGATATTTCCCAAATAACATAGTTTAGAGCCCTAACCTCCAGCACCTAAGAATGTAGTCTTACTAGAAATAAGAATCTTGCAGATGGGGTAAGTTAAAGTCTTCTTGGGGCACAGAGCGCCACTCAACCAATAAGACTGTTCTTACAGGAAGAGGAGATACAACCAGAGTGCAGTGGAGACGGAGGCTGAAGCTCAGCAGCAGTGAGCCCGGGGGGACCACAGATGCAGGACCTCCATCAGAAGCCAGGCAAGGCCGGCATTCCCCTCACAAGTCTCAGAGGGAGCACAGACCCACTGATATCTTAATTTCAGACAATACAGTTCTATTGGTTTAAGCTACACTGTGTATGGTATTTTGTTATGGCAGCCTAAGAAAATTAATACAACCTCCCAATGCAAGATAAATGTGTTTATCTATTTACAAATTATATATCTGTGAAGGGAAAGGTCTTTTCTTTTTTGAAGATTTATTCATGTATGCATACAGAACTGAGGTACAGACCAGAGAAGTGGGGTGGGGGGGTGAAAAGATTCACCAGAGAACGAGTGGGGAGCAGAACAAACAAATAGACAAAAATACACAGCCAAGGGGAGCAGTGGACAGGACAGGAGAGGTCTGTGGGTCACCTCCCTGGCTGGGAATCAAACTTGTGCTGCAATGGTTGTGGATCACTTCTAGTGATCCTGAGCTGTGCTATATAACCCACTGCACCACCAGGGAGGGCCCAGAAAAGGTCTTTTCAACAGGTTGTTCTAGAGTGACATATCACCCAAGTAAACAAAAAGCACCTTCACCTAAAGCTCACACACCATATATACAAAAGTTGACCAACTCAAAATAAAGAACCCCTCTAAGTATAAAGGGTAATACTACAAATTAGAAGCTAACATGGGAGAAAATCTTCAAGACCTGCAACACAACAGAGTTCAAAAGAAAGGTTCAAAAAAAGAAAAAATTGATACATTGGGCTGCATCAAAATGAAATGCTTTTGTTCTGTGAAGCATCGGATCACTAGAAGTGATCCACAACCATTGCAGCACAAGTTCGATTCCCAGCCAGGAGGTGACATCACCACAGACCTCTCCTGTCCTGCCCACT